TTATAAGCCAACAGGAGAAAATCGCAATCAGATTTGAAAAGAGTATTCCAGTTTTGTAGAATTTAGGAGACAAAGTGAGTGACTCGAGCTTTTCTCCTTCTCATGTTTGTAACTCTTAATCACTGTAATGGGTGAACAGTTGCCTCTTTCTCTTTGGCTCAAATGTTGCTTGAATTTGAGAAGTGCTTGGGCTAGCCCATCCTCCCATGCAAAGTATGTGGAGTATCTCTCAGAAACTGTATGAGGTACAAAAGAAAAGCATAGAATGGGGTCCTTCTCCTTCGGGAAGTCACTACAGTGAAGAGACTTAGACAAAACTCTCACGGTTGAGAAATAAGTGCTGGGGTGTTGTGTGTCCCTGGGATGGGCCATTGGAAGTCACAGACAGGAGGCTGGAGTGAAATATAAACCTGGAGCTGGCTTTGCAGCCAAGCGTGGCCAAGGCTGGCAGCAACCTGAGGGAGCAGTGATACTGGGTTGCAGTAGGGTGGAGAAAGGAACAAATGAGGTGGAGATCCAGGGCCAGAGCAAAGGTGGAGGTGAGGTCAATCAGCCCAGTATAGGAGGAGGCAATGTCCCGCCCGCCCCACCAGCACCGCTGGGGTTCCTGGTCCTGGAAGGAACTGGTCATGTCAGGAGTCAGCTCAGAAGGTCCCTGGCTTTCGTCACAGCCATCCCCCGCCCGCCGCCCTGATTTTACTGTTCTCTCTTGGGTTGCAGCCAGCCCTGGACACCCTTGGCGTGGGCCCATGAAGGGTGTTTGCTGGGGCTGACGGAAGCGATGACAGAACGCAAGTGGGCAGGCTTTGGTCCTAATCACGGTGGGAGGCAAGAGTGACGGGGCGCTGAGGGGGTTGTGCATAAATGTGCCAAGGACGAGCTGGGCGCCTCTCTGCCAGCATGGGCTCTTGGCCCAGCTGGGACCGTTGCTTCTGTCTATCCGTCCATGCCTAGGACAGTGACCGGCTAGGCTTAGTTAAACAGGGAACCAGGAAAACAGAACTGCGTTTGTCTGAGGTAGCACCTTCCTCTTCCATCCACATATCTTCAAAAGGAACATAAAAGTGTCAATCAGGTAGCTAGAAGGCCATACTTTACATGCCTAGGACAGGCACACATTTGTATCTCCCTAAAAACCAACAAAACGTGGTGGCATAAACCTAGGAGAGGCCAGAGTTAAATTCTGTGTTTAATTTTCATAGTTAATTTCTTATATTCTTAATAATATTAACATTTCTCTCCTATGCTGAAAGTAGAGGGGCAAACAGGGCCAGCGACGGGCCATGGGTCACAGTGGGACACCTTGTGCCGTATCACCCTTGGATGAGCCGGCAGCAATTCATAGCGATGTTTCCCAGAGTGCGGTATGAGATCGCTGCATCAGGATCATGGGTATGGTAGTGTGGTTTACGAAAATGTAGGTTCCTGAGCCCCACCCCAGATCTATTCTCTACTTTGTGGTGCTGAGGCTGAGGAAACCCCATTTTTAACCAGCACCCAGGTGATTTTTGTGCACACTGAAGTTTAGCAACCACTGTTAGAGGCCTGTGCTCTAGCAGTAGGAAAACTTCCTACTATCACAAAGCTATTCGCTCTTAGCATCATAATTTTGAATGATAGACAAGGATCCATTTAAGTTAAAGTTTTGACAGCACTAAATAGAACAGAGTGGCTTAAACTGAAAACCAAAAAAAAACTCATGCAAAAATGACATTGTCTAATATGTTGAATGCAATATACTAAAGCCAAATGGCTTTGCAAAAAGACTGGCCTGTTGAAACATTGCAGAAAGGCTCAAGATGAGTCATAACATAAACACTGATGATGACGTCTTTCATCCTACGCTTTCCTTATTCCCAGTCAAAATCCAAGAGAGCAGAGAAAGCTGCATGAGGGGTGAGGGATGTCATTTATCACCTGGCCCCCACCCGCAGTCACCAGGGGTACCCCACAGAGTGTCTCTCTGTGCTTCTGCCCCATATCCTTAACCTTAGTGGGACAGGAACGGTTAGAAGCCAGACAGAAAGAAAGATAAAGGGTTCATGTGAGGTGGTCAGGGAGGGAAGAATGAATAGTCAAAGAAAGCCCTCAGAGCAGTTACAACAGGAGAGGAAATCCGAGGGAGAAGCCACAGATGCCGGGGGAAAGGGAGGAAGGCACAAACGAAGACAGAAATGAGAGAAGCAACATGGAAGGGAAAGTAGAGGGATTTATAGCACAAGTTATGGAGCCAAATAGATCCAGGGTCAATTCACCAAGAAAACAAGATATCCTAAAGGTATATGTACCAAAGAAAACACCTGCAAAATATGTAGAGCAAAACCTGTTAGAACTGAAAGGAAAAATGAACAAATCCCTAAGACCAAGAACAAGGCATAGATCTCCACTCTCATCACTCTTATTCAACTGGAAGTTCTTGCCAGTGCAATAGGAAACATAAGGAAATAAAAAGCGATACTGCTTATGTGCTAAAAACTACACAGTGCTAATGAAAGAAATCAAAGAAGGTCTAAATGAATGGAGAGACATACCATGTTCATGAATTGGAAGACTCAGCATAGTAAATATGTTCATTCTCCCCTAGTTGATAGGTTTACAGATTCAATGCAATTCCTATCAAAATCCTAGTAAGATTTTTTTTGTAAATATAGACAAGATTATTTTAAAGTTTATATAGAAATGAAAAGGAACTATATTATCTAAAACAATTTTTAAAAAGAAGAATAAAGTGGGAAGAGGTAGTCAATCCACTTCCAAGACTTATTATATGGCTACTGTAATCAAGACTATGTTATTGGCAGAGGAACAGAATGAAGAAAGCAGCACAGACCCACATAATTATGTAAACTGATCTTTGACAAAGATGAAAAAGCAATTCAATGGAGGAGAGATGGCCTTTTCAACAAATGGTGCTGGGAACAGTTGGACATCCACTGGCAAAATGAAACACAAATCAAAACCCTCAACATAAATCTCACTCTTCACACAAAATTTAACTCAAAATGAATCATGGACTCAAATATAAAATGTAAAACTGTAAAATAAAAAAAAAAAGATTTTAGGATCTATGGCTAAGGAAAGGGTTCTTAGACTTAATCCCAAAAGTACAATTCATAAATAGAAAACCTGATAAACTGGACTTCATCAAAATTAAAAATTTTTGTTCTTTGAAAGACCCTAGTTAGAGGATGAAAAAATGAACTACAGAGTGGAAAAAAATATTTATAAACCACATATGCAACAAAAGACTATTATGGAAGAACTCTCAAAAATTAACAATCAAAAAACAATCCATTTAGGAAAAAGAGATCCAAGATGGCAGAATAGATCAACACTGTGCCTGTTTCTTTCCATGAACACATTAAAATTACAACTAAATTATAGAACAATCAACCTGGAGAATCATCTGAAGTCTAGTTGAACAGGAGTTTTATAACTAAAGACATAAAGAAGAAGTCACTCTGGGCTGGGGAGACTGGTAGGAGGTGGGGAGACACAAAATGGGCTAGCACCAAACCTCCATGTGGTGATTGAGAACCAGGAGGGATATCTTGGCTGCAGCGGTTCACCCCTGAGGAGCAAGAAACCACAGCCACAAACCAGTCTCCCCAGCCCAGAGCACTGGTGCTGAGAAGAGGAGACCCCACATCTGGCTGTGAAAAACAGTGGGGGTTCTGACCACCTGGGTGGGATAAAACAAATAAGTCATGGGGATGTAATGGACAGAATAGGGAATATAGTCAATAATATTGTGATAACATGGTACGGTGTCACATGGTTGCTGAACTTACCATGTTGATCACTTTTTTAGGTATATAAAGGTTGAATAACTATGGTGTGCACCTGAAACTAATATAATAGTGTATGCTAGCTATATTTTAATAAAAATCTTTAAAAAGTAAGTATAATGAAAAGAAAAAACTAATGAAAAAGTAGCAGGGAAGTTTGTATCATAAACTTTCTAATTGTACACAAAAACTTTAATATAAAAATTGGGGGGGGGGCAGCCGAGTGGCTGGCTGGTTAAGAGTTGGCCTGGGAGCACGAGCTCTGAGGAGCGGTGTTGCTGGTTCAGATCCCACATGGGCCAGTGACGCTGCGCCCTCTACAACTAAGATGGTGAACAGCAGCTCGACCTGGAGCTGGGCTGCTGTGAGTTGCCAACGTCAGCGTAGATTGCAGTAGGGCTGCAATGGGCTGCCGTCCAGTGGCCAGTGTCCGATCTGCCTCAGCCGGGAAGAGCGCAATGATAATACCAACATGGGCCAGTAATGCGATGTCCTCCACAACTAGACTGAAGAACAAAGGGACAGCAACTTGTCTGTTCCCCTTCCCTGATTCCCCAACGTTGTTCCCCTCCCCCAATTCCTCAATAAATTCTTTAAAAAAAATTAATTAATTAAATTAAATTTCAACCTCCCCCCCTCCTCAAAAAACAACAACAAAAAATCCATTTAGGAAATACGCAATAGACATGAACAGACATTTCATGGACGAGAACATACAATGACAAATAATTACATGAAAAAAATGTTCAACATCATTAGCCATTAGGGAAATGCAAATTAAAACCATAATGAGATACCACTATACATCTGTTAGAATGGTGGCTGGGGAGGGGCTCAGGGCGTCTTGTCAGGTCAGGTATCCCTGAGCACCTGAGTACTCTGCTTCCTTTCTGATTCTCCTCTGTCCCGATCCAAATTGTGTCTACTCTGAGGGCAGAGAAGGATGTGTGGCAGTGGATATATTCATCCAAATCTTGGGCCTTTGGTCTGGTCCTCATGTTTTCTCTCGTTGGTTCTCAGCAGTCTGCCAAATCATCCTTCTTCTGAAGGGATAAGCATCAAATCCCTTCACTGCTGCTTGAATTGGTCACAGAAAATCAGAACATATGGAGAAAAACCCTCCTGTCGATATCTCAAAATATTATCCTGTGATATACTCTACCATCTTTCTGCCCTCGGCTCACTTATTCTTCTCCTTGTCTTTCCCTTCAGCTTGTGGCCCAGGTCCTGGAACACAAAGACATAGGCTTTGTGATGGTGGATGCTAAGAAAGAAGCCAAGCTTGCCAAGAAACTGGGTGAGTGTGATTTTTTTTGTAAGCTCTCAGGAAAAACAGAAGTGTCTTGCAAAAAAAAAAAAAAAGTATAGTTTCATTTATTCTTGCATGATAGCTGGATCTTATATTTATTTTCATTATTATGGTCCTGCACACCTTCATCTTAGATTGTAGAAGAGTTTCATAAAAATAAATCATAACCTGAATTGAATGGTTTTACATTAATTATCTAATATATCTTCGTATCAGTGCCTTGAAGTGGATTTCCTCCTGAAATAACTGACTCTAAAGAGTCAAACCTTTATTTTCAGACCCTGGGGTTAAAAAGTCAGCTTCTTTATTTCACTGCCATGGTGATCTCTGAGGAAGATCAAATCTCTTCTTCCATCACCTGTTACTTCCTTATCTCTTGGCTGAGTCACCCAACAAATATAACATTCATGGTAGTGACTCTGGGGTCCCAGTAGTTGCTAAATTTAAGGCTAAACCCCAGCTGGGCCTTATCACCAAGGATGAGAGGGGAGTTTTAGATGAGGTATGCTTAAGTGACTGCACAGTGTGAGTTGTAATCTCTTTTGTCAACGTGTCATGCTTAAATGTAAATGCACTTGACGATTCTTACACTTCTAATCCCAAGGAGAGAGAAAACCTGTAACTTCTCTGGTTTTCAAATACCCCCACACATGTACTGCCCATTTCATTTTTTCTGCATGGCCAGTGAAGAATGGCTATTTAAAAAAATAGCAGAAGGTTATAAAACAGGACCTTTAAAGAAAGGTTAATTGGATTTAAAGTAGTAAGCACAGGGAAAAAAAACTAGTGGTGGTTCAATAAATACCTTTAGGTACATGAAAGTTCATATTTTCGAGAATTGCAAACAACTGTTTTCTATTTTATTTTTAAAAAATATGTGCCTTGTTTTTTTTAAGATTTAAATTGTAGGAGACAGTATTTGTTAGACATAAAGAAGAACTCAGGACTATAAAATGATAATGGATAATTAAGAATGGCTGGGGGCCAGACGAGTGGCGCAATGGTTAAAAACTGGCTTGGGACGCCAGAGGGCCCCGGTTCGGATCCCACATATGAGGGCCAGTGACACTACCCTCTACAGCTAAGATGCTAAACAACAGCTCAACCTGGAGCTGGGCTGCCGTGAGTCGCCGGCGACAGCATAGGCTGCAGCCCCTGTGGCAGTGGGTTGCCATGGGCTACCGTGTGTAGCCAGCAGTCAGTGTGAGTGGCCAGCAGCCTCCGTGAGCAGCCGTCCAGAGGCTGGCGACTGATCTGCTCGCCTGGGAAGAGTGCAATGATGGTGCCAACTAGGGCCAGTGAAGCAACATCTTCCACAGCTAGACTGAAGAACAAAACAACAGCAACTTGTCTATTCCCCTTCCCCCAATTCCCCAATACAAATCTTAAAAAAAAAATGGCTGGGATATCTCTTTCCCTAGAGACAAATTAAGGAATATTTTTTTCCTCTTGAGCAGGGGAGCAAAGTATATTAAACCCTTTCTTCAGTCAAAAGCGATTTAATGAATTCTTTATCCTCCCCCAGCACCTATTGATTCCATAGTCTTCTCCCTTCCCATGTTCTAATGAGAAGTTGAATTTCCAGTAAATTTAGTTAAAGGAAAACACTAGTGTTCCAGCGATCTAAAAATTTAGGGAAGACAAGCTGGGCCAGTAATCATAAGAATAGATCAGTGAAGGTTCTCCCAGTGGAGGATGTGATGGGGCTTGAAAAGCCTAAGTGAGCCTTTCTCCAAGCTCAGCCTAGAGGAATTGGGGGCAGGCTCTCTCTGACGATTTGATCCTTGGAGTTTACAGGACATTTGTGTTCTGTGAACCTGCTCCTTCATCTCCATCCTCTCTTCCATTTGCCTGAGTTTGGTTTCCAACAGGTTGTGTCTACAGCCTCCCAAGTGGTTTCACTCAGAGCAGAATGCTGGCTGATATTCCTGGTGGGACCCCTGTGAATAGTCCTTGCTGGCTTCAAGGATACATGGTACATTGCCCCTTTAGATTTAAGAATAGTGCTCCATAGGGGCGGCCAGGTGTTTCAGCTGGTTAGAGCATGTGTTCTGAGCAACAGGGTTGCCAGTTCGATTCCCACATGGGCCAGTGAGCTGCGCCCTCCACAACTAGATTGAAAGACAACAACTTAAACTGAGCTGCCGCTGAGCTGCTGGTGGGCGGCCGAATGGCTCAGTTGGTTAGAGTGCACGTGTTAACAAGGTTGCCGGTTCGACTCCCACATGGGATGGTGGGCTGCACCCTCCCCTTCTCCCCCAGCCCCCCGCAACTAGATTGAAAAAGGGCGACTAGACTTGGAGCTGAGCTGCACCCTTTACAACTAAGATTGAAGGACAACAACTTGACTTGGAGCTGATGGGTCCTGGGAAATACACACTGTTCCCCAATAAAGTTAAAAAAAAAAAAAAGGCTGCCGTGAGCTACCTGAGTGTCTGGCAGCCAGCGTGAGCAGCCGACAGCCGGTGTGAGCTGCTGGGCGCCTCTGTGAGCAGCCAACCAATGACTGGCGACCGATCTGCCTCACCC